TCCCTCTTATGTTCCCCATTGATCATTGTAATAGTCTAATAGAATTAATCCCAATGGTTAATTTTATGCTTTGGTAACTTGGACTCTCCTCTACTAAGTTAGGGTTGTGCCTTAATTATCCATTCCCCAATTAAGTACAACGAGTACTACTATACCAACACTCCTAATCTCACTTAGAAGTAGAAAGTGTGAATCTTGCACACTCCCATAATTCACACACTCTCGAGCTTTATAAATGTGATTTTCTTCATTAATTCTTAAACATCACCATAGAAATCTCTCACAATATCACCATTACACCGGTCGATCCTTTGCAACGAATTAAAACACTCATATAATTCTCAAGCTCAGTTCTTGATCAAGGTTTCCTTCTCCGTTTGGTTACTTCAACCGAGAGACAGAGCGAGACTACTCGAAGAAATTGGTGAATTCTTGTCTATTTTCTTTCAAGTTCTTAAGGTAAGAATTCGATATTTCTTGCTACACTATGACTCATCACTAATATATTCTTATAATTCTCTAAATATATTGAGTAGAACCGAACACCCCTAAGTCTTACAGTCCAAATCATTAAGGCATATATGTAAGCATTAACACTTATAATTTAATGTGTAAAATGCTAGATGCATTTATCGACAAAATGGCAACTTGAAAGTATAACATATGTTGCAAATGAGGGCAAGAGAAAATGTCCAAGAAGAACACATTGCACATTAGAATAGTTCTTTAAAAAAAAAAAAGATAAAAAATATGTAATAATTTAAATATTTTATGTAAATTATTTAAACATACCAAGGTCGAAAATCCTATTTAAACAATGTTAATGACGGGTCCAGCCCGCATACTACAACCAACAACTTTAATTGTTCAAAATAAAACATGCAAAATAAATATGTAAAAGAAAAATAAACGCATTTTTTAATGTGTTTTTCACACAACAAGTTGCACATAAATTTCTATTTGTAGAGTGCAAGAATCACCAACAAGAAAACCATTTTCGGGATTACGAACGGTAGCAAAGCTTAAGAATGCCTTTTGTCCACATATTTTATCCAAAGATGTAAACCAATGAGAAACTGCAATAACAAACCAATTATTAGCAAAATTGATAGTTGAACACATTTAAGAGTATACAAAATTATAAAAGTTGTCACTGAATTTAAAAGAAAATATATTTTTGAAATTAGAAGAATTTTTTGTAATGCCAATTAACGACACAACGATGCAAAGAAAAAAAAAATGTTCAAAATAAGTTAAATGTAAATTATTATAGAAGGAAAGGAATTTTTTTGGAATACTTACGCTTTCCAGAGCTTCGAACAACACCAGTTTACCTTTTAGGCGCATACAAAACTCAGCCTTTACTTTTTGATGAACATCAAATGTATCGGCACTTGCACACACCAAATCCATTGACAATCCACTACCCTCTGAATTGGAATCTATATTTGGGTATAACTTCATTTTCCTATGTTTAGATAAAAAAATTAAATTGCACGTAAGAAAAGAATTACATAAGAGAAAAATATAATTTCATATCACGCCAAAGATAAATATTAGAAAAGAAGGCAAGGGAAAATACCAATTGACATTCGTGATGGTAAATTCTTCAGAAATCCAAACATTTTGTTCCAATTTAGAAAATTCTTGAATATTCCAATCGCGTTTTTGTGAATTTTCTGTCGGTTTGAAGAGAGCAACATTCTCGATGACTGGGAGTCTTTTGATGACAAGAACTTCAGCTCCAATCACTAAATTGTCATCAACAAGGTATCCATTCGATTGATCGAACAACATTTTCTTAAACATTAACTTAGGAAATCCCCATTTGCACTTTGTTTCATTAAAGCGCCGTTCCTTTACTGGAGAATAAGAGTACTTAACGTCAACATCTCAAACTAAGTCAACATCTCAAACTAAGGGTAAGATTCATTTCCATCCTAAGGTTTGCACTAAACTTCAAATTAGTCGCGGAGGTTTTATTTAGCTTCAATTTCTTCGTTCGAGCCCATGATTCACCTCATTTCATCGTCAATTTTGAAGATTTTTTTTTAAAGAAATATCAATAGTGCCCTTCAACAAAAAATGACAGTTGCATTCAATGGGAAAAAAATTGCAGTTGGAAAAAATAGTTATTGGGAGAAAAACTGCAGTTGGATTTTTTTTTTATTTCAAGCAACATATTATAACCATGATTCATCATTAATTTATTGGCGTCTTGATTTAAATAACCAGTATACTATATCCAATAAAAAAAAAATACTATGCGTTCATCACAAAAAACCATAAAAAAAAAATACATAAAAATAATGTTCTATAGGGATTGGTTTGCCGTCTTACAGAAATTGTTGGTGAAGAGTAAAGTTAGTCTTGGAGTATCTGAATTTCCATGAGATTTGGCGCTAAAATAAGGGTTGGAGGACAAAATTGAAGTTAAATAAAACTTTATGGACTAATTCAAAATTGAGTGCGAACCTTAGGGATGAAAATGAATTTTACACTCAAACTAATTGTTTTTTCATGGGTAAAATTATATAAGGAACAACGTAAGGGATAAACTAGTTACCTCTAAAACAGTGATATTTGTCTAAAATTTGATTATAAAGAAATATGGTGAAGACAACATTAAACTCCCAATCCGCAGACAAAGAACTAATGTCAGACAAGGCCAAGTATACAGAAATATGATGGCCTTTTTCTTTATTTTCATACTCATCGCCGTCGGGGTAGATTATAAGTCTCCTATATATAATATATCCAGAGACACATTGTTCAATCATTCAATATAAACATAAAATACATAGACATTAATTAAATTAAGAGAGAGTACCAACAACTAACCATTTAAGACCTCCGGCTTCGAATTCTCTTGTTTCGTATTTATCAATGCCGTATTCAAGCAGTAACGAGAAAGATTCAATCTTTGTCAGAAAATGAGCAGGCAATGCATCTCTCATTTCCACTGTAAAAAGAAGACCGGATAAGTATGGCACAATGAGTTATATATATATATATATATATATATATATATATATATATG